TGTCTGAGTCTGCAAAGATTTAATCTCCAAGAGGGGCAGAGCAAGTGACAAATCAGAACCTGAAGCGGCTGCTTTTAAAGGGTAGAGGGAACACAGGGAGGACACAACCTGTGACCAAGAGGAGGCATTAGGGGAGGGGTGAAGGGTAAGAGCTCCCCAGTAGAAGCCAACATGGGGAGGGAGCAAACCTCACAATCCAATTCTGCTCCAAGGAAGGGATGAAAGAGAGGGAACACTCCAGAAGCAAAGGAGTGTGATATCTTTGACAGACAGGGGTAAGACAAGGGAAAAAGGGAGGTGTGCAGGTGGATTGACAAGTAGATTGACATACACTTTGGCAGGGAAAGCTGTGGGAAACAGTGCAGGAGTGAACCATTAGGGAAGTACGTACCCAAATGGGGTACATAGAATGAACCATTACAAACTTATAACAAGGAATATTAGAACATATTACAGAAGAACAAATTGTAAAATAACAGACTACCACACATATCACTGTGAATATGAATAGTTAATAATTTTTTTTAAAAATCTGACTTTTATCAGATAACTTTTAAAAATTTGTGGTGGAAGCTTCTATTAGAGCCAATGACAAAGTAGATTTTAAGGCCCTTTAAATTTTTTTCCAATTTTTTCCCAAGCTGAAGTCTGGCAAATCTGTTTTAAAAGTACTACATTTTGAATTCTCCATTTACATATATGCCTAAAATTTTCATAAATATCTGCATTTTAGGGAGTGGTTGTGTAAAGTTGTGATCTAGAGATACCATGAGAAGATATGCTTGAAAATAAGAGGATACTTTCTGATGACATCTTCTGATGATCTTTTTGTGCAGAGAAAAAGTTGAATTTGACTTGTCTATACAAACTCGTAGAACCTAATGCCATATCTGGAGATTTCAGTATAACAAGAAATATCACATATCTTTCTCTACTAATTAACATTGTGATAATTTTTTTCTGGTTAATGACAGGTTTTTATGCACAAATTTAAGTCCATTTCCAGATATGTAACTGCAGTTGGAATCTGTTGTGCTGCTCTTTGATGATTTGCCAGTTCTGATGAAAAATTGCCGTGTCATATTCCATTAGACTTGTCAGTTCTCAATGGGGTCAGTACTGGAGTATTTAACTTTTAAACTGAGAAGCACTAAAAAAAAATTTAGCTTAGAGATAGATATGTTTCAATGCAAATTATACTAGAGGACATGAGTAAATTTATTTTTATTTTCAAATTTAGAGATTGTTCAAAACTCCATGGGCTAGGCAATTTAAAATGCTGACCATAGAGTCTGCAAAAGAGGGTTGATCTGTTTCGGTGAATTACCAAAATTCATTTCCTGTGTAGCTTGAAGTGGCATGACAGTTTAGCCAAATTAGAGGTTAAATCACTGTTATGAAGTGCAGTGTATAGAAAGAACCCCATCTTCCCTTAACCCACTAGTTTAGGTATGTCAGTCTTAAACAGATGAGAGATTAAAATGCGGCAGGTTTCAAACCATGTTAGATTAAATCTGTACTCAAATGCTGATTCAAGCTAGCAAACAGTAGCAAAGGTGAAGAGATATTCCCAGTAGGCACATACACAGAGCACACACATACACCAGATATACATTGAGTTGTCCACACAGATCACAGACACTCAAAGCCCTCCCGTAAACACAACAGCACTGGGGGCCTCATTCTGTCCTCCTCTGGCTGGACAGGATGAAAGATCAGTAGTGTTAATGGACAAACCCATATCTATACATGCACTCATAACAGAGAGCCCATTCCCAGAAAGAGTTAGAAGGGAATTTAATAAGAGGACAGAAAAAATGGTGTTCATCCAGACACTATACACAGAACATAACCAGAAAAACTTATTACCCAGCTAACTATTTACATATGATTGGCCCTTTTATCCCCTTATATTTCTATTTCCCCTCTATCACCTAAACTCCTCACTTGTCTTCCCGATGGTTTCTCCCGTAAACATCATCTAAGTCCTTTGCTATGCCAGATTCTTTTCCCTATATCTTATAATTTGCTCTACATACCTAGACAGCAATCCCCAGCATTTCACTGAAAGATGATTTTTTTTCCTGAATCCTTGTTTTGAGTTTCTATCTGCTACTACACACCGCTGTGCTCCTCTGGGCATGGACAGATGGATCTTTGAGGGTCTGATTGCCCTATGGTGGGCTGGGTAGGTCTGTCAGGGTAGTATTTGGGCTAGTATTGTTCATCCTGTGTCTCTCTGAGCTCTTCTGTGGGTGTGCAGATAAAGTTTATCACATAACCCAACAGGGCAGCTCAGCAACACACTGACTTGGAAGCTTTTGCTTCTTCAAAAAGCATTATAAGGCTCAATTGTACATTAAGTCCTCATGCTTCACAATAAGGAGTTCCCGTATTTGTCCAGAAGTGAATAGGAGAAGAACTACAATGCAAAATGGTGCATTTTCAAGTGCATGATTCAAAGACAACCAACACAGGAAGGATTTTTATGAACTGATTTATTGCTGACTCAAATTTTTTTTCACCCTAGAACGACTCCATCAGATATAATGAGATGCTAATTGTTTCAATTTGGAAAAAAACCCCAAAGTTAAATGACAACAAAAGAAAATCTTTTCAATAAACATATATTCTTATGTTTTAAATAAAGGTCAAACTGCCTTGATCAGCAGTTGCTAATATTACGTCAGATAATAATTAAAATACTTGAAGCAAGCATAATGTTTAATGGCCAGGTTTTTTTTTGGAAATAAGGTGCTGGTTCAAATAATGTATAGAAGATTGAGGGAATTGGCCCTGTTGTAAAAATATGAAAAATTCAGCTTAAAAATCAAAGCATATTAGGATACCTGAGTAGTTAATTATGTTTAATATCATTAGGGGGAGTCAGAATAATGCTGATTTAGCTGACAAATAGAGGATTTTCCTGTAATCATCCTCATATTCTGTGTATGCTTGCAGAGCACAGTCATCTGAAAACTGATAGGCTGATAAGTTTCCATAGTATTGCATTCTTCACTGGAAAAAAAAAAAAAAAAAAAAAAAAAGTGGTAATTTTTTCTGAGGGAAAAAGCCTTAAAAATAAATCAGGGAAAAAATTTAATAAAGAAAAAATCACTCAGTTTCCTCTCCCCAGCCTTACACATCTTAGTTACAGGGTTACTCAGTTATCTAGACACTAGGGCTGTTTCCTCATTAGAGTCAGTGATATTTCACTGAAATATGAAATTTTATACAGTATTCAGAATACATACAGTAAGTTCTTTTTAAATGTTGACACCTACCAGTAGCAAACAGTGTACACACTCTTTATAATACTGAGATAAGTTATTTATTAAAACAATGTTAATATGCTTGGAAAAAAAATCAGGAAAGGAAGAAGATAAATCTGACTTTTAAGAGCTTTTGCAATTCTATCAGGATTAAATCCACAGATGCTGAAATGAAATATGCTTTTTCTGCAAGTGCATATTTTAAATATTTTAAATTAAAGTAGTTTATTATGGAAGAGTGAAGGATTTTTGGTTGTGGGGTTTTGGCTTTTTTAGTTGCTTGGTTTTTTTATCTTCAGCAGTGGTCTTTTTTATCAATTTATTAAAAAATCACAGCTGGAATTGTCATCATTTGAGAAGGTACTCTGTCAGCCAAAATCAAAGAAAAATAGTCAAAACAAAAGTAACAGAATGAAGTCAGAACAGGCCTTTGAAGGAGTTTTTATAAGTTTGTATAACACATGTTATTACAGGCAAAAATTATTGTTCACAAGAACTTTGGTGTTGTAGTGGGAAGGCAGGAAGATGCCACAGCCCATATGAAGTATGTTTCCGTGTTGAAGTTCCTTGCTCCCTTCTAAAATAATTGATTTTTTTAATAAAAAACCCGAAATATTTCATCAAATAAGTCATGTCATATGAAATTCATATCAAACACACCTGAAAAATTCTTTTTTTTGGTTTATGTTATTTGTCAGCTTTGTTTGAATAGAATGTTGCTACTTTTTAGGCAGCTTCAGTTATTCCTTTAGACCATAAAGTATACTATAACTGAATAAAAGCAAAGTATAAGAATCTTACCCATTCCTTAAAATAGTTGAGGTAGTTTTTAAATTCGATTGTATGCAAGTATCAAAATACAAATATTAAATATACCTGCGTTGCAAACAGGCAGGAGTCAATCCTGCAGGTCTTGGAACTTTGCTGGTTTTCAGTGAAAGCTCTTACAAGTGCAGAAAACTTAGACCTAGTGAACAGGAACAGTAACCCTTCTAGCACAGTGTGTCACATATAAAATGTTTCTATTTAGGCAGCACTCAGATTCATCCCATGCCCTGCCATGCACATATGCACACAGAACGGCCTTATTTGTACTATAGCTAAAGTTTAAAACCCACAGCAGAGGTTTTTTATGCTTCTGCAATTACTGATTGTACAACTTATGTAACATATTGTGGACTAACAACTCAAGTGTCCAATCCTCAGAAATACAAGCAGAGGGTTACATTATATGAAAATTCAGTCCCTTTGTCAATAACAGATCTGCTCATTTGCAGGGCATTAAGTATATTTTTAAGTATTTGCAGGGTACAGTGTCTCAGGATCCTTCCACATAAATTCAGAGTATTCTCTACAAAAAAAATTCAAGGAAAGGTATTTTTAATAATTTCTAGAAAATTGGCAGTATGGAATTAAGTGCTTCTTTGACTCTTTCAGATGTCAAAATTAATTCAGTACCTAATGCCAAATGCTCCTGAAATTGATTTACAGGCACAGGAAAAGGATTAATAGCCTTGTTTTTTTTCAATTATTAAGGTTGAGAATAACTGTACAGATCTGCTTGTTGCCTCTGGGCACATGCAACGTGAAAAAATTATTACTGAGGAACTTACTGCCACATTCCTACCGAGATCTTTAAAAATACCTTTTGTGAATGTAAGGATTCTCAGTTTCAATGGAAGTCACTGTAATATTAATTTGTAATGACAAACTCTCTTTTATTTTCAGATTCACGGCCTCTACCAGATGTAGCCCTAACAGGGAAGTGCACCCGAGAATGTGATGAGTATGGCCACTCAGACTCCTGCTGGATGCCAGTCCGCACTTCTCCGGAGAGAAAGCAGAAGAGCCAGCCAAAACTCTCCACTTTCATGCCTGTCGATGAACGGGGCAGTCAGGAAAAGCTGGCCAATGGAGAAGCCTCCCTCATGGGTGACCGCAACAGAAACCTCCTTAACAAAAAGTTGACCTCATCCTATGAGACCTTCAGCGCAGCTAGTTTCAGCAAAAATGAAGAAGGCAACCCAGAGGATATCCCCCTTACACAGACAGGGGAATACAAGCCATCTCCTGTCAATACTCTAACTAGAAGAGAAGTTTACCTGTAGGCTAAAAAGCAGCAACAAAGTTCTTTCATAATATAAGAAAGAAATGGGGCAAAAGTCTTAAAATCACAACAATTCTAAGAAAAAATGTGAAACAATAAAGAGGGGGCCACCAAAGAGACAAAAGATCTGCCTGCCACTTCTGCCTCCATAGCAGGCATGTAATTATACTGTCTGCCTGACTATACTGTACAATGTAGAAAACATTGTTGTTACTTGCATGTCTAATTCCCCCTCGCTGATTTTTATTTTCCTAGATCTATGGTTGCAAATTCCTCCCATAGTAGCAAGCTTGATTAAAAAGAACATGACACACTGTTGTTTCCCCTCTGCAGAAGCATGAATTAAGCCACTCAATTTGTTTGTTTGTCATCTGGCTTGTTGAGGATAACAGGTCAGGGAAAATGTATTCAAAACATACCATCTGAATTTTGCTGATCCCCATCAGGGACAATCCTTCAGAAACCATAAAGATATAGGATAAATATAAAGGAATAATCATTAATAGGCACTTTGTGAAGACCACAGCTTTAATATTCTCACTTATCATCTGAGGCTGGAAGCAACAGAAATACATTCAGCCTGAGACTGCAGTCAAAAACATGGCATACTTCCCGTGATTCATGGACTCTGGTTCTGTTTTATCCATTGAACAAATGTGTCTTGCTGTGTCTCTTTCTCTCTTTCTCTCTCGTTCTCTGTAATGATTATTTCAATGTAAACACAATTACTAACACTTACACCATAGGATAGCAATGATAAGCTGTTGAAATCATTATTTTGGGCAAGACTAACATTTAGCTGGGAAGATTGTAATAACAAAAAGGCCAAAGATCACACAAAGGATCAGGGGAACTGCTAAGTATTGGGGCTTGACTTAGAAAATAAATGTATTCACAAAAAACCACATGTACTCATAACACAGATTCAGTTACATTCTATGCAGCAGCACAGTTCACAAGCCCAGATGACAATTTTTTTTTCCAGTGTGGTTCAGTTGAATGCCCAAAGGAACTGATGCTTTTTTTGTAATGACATGATTCATTGCAGCACATGCTGCATATGATATGCTGCATATGCTAGTTCCAGGGAATTTTTAAGATCAAAATTAAAAAATAGTAGTAGAAGAGAAGGCCATGTTAGTGGGAATGCTTGATGGGAGGGAAAAAGGTGGACAATGGGATAATGCAGTAACAAGAGAACATTACAACTTGGATACAAAAGCTTCTTTTCAGATTGCAAGGCATGGTTGCTATGTCTGGTCATCAGTGTTGCATCATCTTTGACATAACTACCTCAGTTATGTCAAAGATGATGATAATGAAAGCTTTCTTAAAACCAAGTGCATTAAAACCAAGAAAAGTGCAATACTAAATGATATCAAGACTCAGAACATTTAGCATTAGTAAAAAATGGTCTGATAAATAGTGATATGATACCTGGGAGGTCAAGAGGAGTTAAAAGGAGTCCAAGCTACCATATGCAAGAGCTATAACAATTACCATGGTGAGTACTTCTTGGAAGGAAGAGGAAATGAAACAGGGTTTTGTGCAATAAAAGCAACAAAACATGCAGAACATCAACCAATTGCTTTGTAGTTGATGCTGTATTAATAATCACAGACTGAGCTCAGACATTCTGACGAAAGTGACAATCAAACACAGCAAGGACAGCTCAAGGACGGAGAAAGCATTCAGATCCCTGGCTGTTGAACTGGCGTGAAGGCATGGCTAGATGGCTCTCTAGTAACTGTAGTCGTAATGTAGCTTTGGGTAGTTTCTTGCTTTGAAGAAATGCATAAAAATAACCTTAAACACTCTAAGGTAGAGGTTGGTAAATCAAAACAACTCATCACATTTATCTTTTGAATTCACTTCTCCATATAGTGGGTTGGCCTTTTCATTCTCCTCTCTAAAGTTTACTTTCTTCAAGTAACATTAGTTTGTGTATAGCAGTTATGATGAATGGGCACATTTTAGAAAGAAAATATTAAAATCAAAGATTATTAACGATTGAACATTTTTATGTTTAATTATTTAAGTAATACGGGGAGATGCAAGCTAGTACTTTGTTATGAGACTGCGTATAGCAGTTACTGCTTTGTATAATCTGTAAGTACCTGTTTAAAAATGCTTCTAAAATGCTTATGTAATGTAAACACATTTTTCTTGCACGTTTCAACAGAATACACAATTGCATAACAAAAATGTTCAACAGAATTTCCTTTAATAAGATTTTATTTAATATTACACACAAGACAATAAATTAGGTAGCTGGGTTCCATATATTCTTAGACACTTTTTCTACAAGGCTAATAATACAGGTTATAACAGACCTTCAGATTAAATGGATCAGCAGTCACTCACCAATTTTTGCACCACATAAGACAGTCATGAAATAAGTTTCTTGTGTGCATCTCCTTAGATCTAAAATGTGTGAAAGAATTTTTTAAAAATCTATCTACTGTAAGTATTCACAGTAACTCTTGTGGAACTAGCCACTATTAATATGCTGATTACTCTTCTGACCTGGCATGCCATACAAATATATTTTGTGTTTGTATTTTTTCTCTTTATTTGAAATAGGTTAAATATGGTGCCACTCCATAAATAGAGTGCTTTTGTATAAAAAATAAACAAATAATGCTATAAAAATAATTAGGGTGAATGCAAAATATGCAACTGTGCCTTTTATACCTATTATTATGGTAAAGTGGTAGTTGGGTTTGAACACTGAGGGGTAAGGGGCTATTCCCAACTTTTTTGAACCTGTATATTTACCTGTGTTTATTTTCTGAGAAATTATAAATAATATATTTAAAAACAAGCCTTTTGCCAAACTCAGTTAATGGACCAGTCTTAAGCATTATTAACACAAGGCTGTGGTTTAAGTAGGTCTTGAGGATTTTTTTAATTACTGTTTGTGTGGGGTTTGGGGCTGTTTTAATTTGTTTTTAATTCTGCTGCCTGGAAAAGTATGATCAGTCTATATGATAGTTATTTAGCAAGGTGTCACCAGTTCATGTTGCCAAGAAAATTGAAAAATTTTTTAATAGCTTTTAGCCTTCATCACATTTTATTTGTACAGTATAGAAATCATCCTTTTCTTTCCTTCCATGGGAAACTCAAATTAGCTTTGCATGTATTTTACATTAGGGCACCTTTATAGATTGATGCGTTAATATATAACTTTATATGTATTAGGAAGTTCAATAGCTTTGGTCTAAAATCTAAGACTTATTCCAGATCTCAGACCCACTATGTTTATTGAATATGGTTTCTGACTGGCCTGCTGCCTGAGTTTCAGGAAAAAAAGTTAAACATTATTTTTATGTGGGGGAAAAACTTAAATGGGATTGAAATGATTGGCTGAAAGGCTACCCTAGAAGTTGTCAAGCAGAAAAATCATGAATACAGAAAAAGATCTTGCCATAAATCCAGCTATCACCACACACTTGTAAGAAAGTTAAACAATTAAATATTTTTCTTTCTGTTTCATTTGTGATAAATATACAGTTTCTTTAAGAAAAGTAGATGAAAAAGCAATAGAAATGAAAGCCCATCAGTTATCTTGTATTACTGACTGAAAAAACGTAAGCACTAGGAAGACAACATTCACCAGCTACCTGGGGTATGCTTTCAGACAACTTTTCCTAAATTTTAAAGCACTTGCATTCAGTGTGGTACGATCTGTTTGTAATAATAATCATTGACTATTGTTCTGCAACTTGGATGTTGATAGTGAAGCAGAGAACAATTTATCATTGTTTATTATGAGTCACTATGCACGCAACTATGCTAAACATGGCAAAATGTATTAAACGCTAGTCCACCTCTATTTATGAAATATTTACATAATTTAATTTGCTTTTGTACAGTTTTATGTAAATAAATTGCTTGTCATTTTTTGTCTCTGCAAATTAAAATATAACATGTTCAACTGGTTGCCCATTTGCCAGTTTACTTTCTTGGGACAGTCTATTCCAATTTTAATAGATTAAATCACATGCTAGTTTCAATATTTAATGGTATTTTGAATAACAAAGATGGCACTGCTCAGTAACTGGCCTCAGATTCAGCTGCAGAGATAGCTGAGGTTTTACCTGTCTGCAGAGTGAAATTTGATAGAAGCAAGGTTACTGTCACCCAGGACAGCACACAGCTATTTTCACAGCAGAAAGAGAGTACTTGTAACCTGAACAGTTGTTTCTGATTACTGTTCAAGAGGGCTTATTTTTAAAATGTGTTCAAAATCTTCTTATTAAATGGAATAACAAGCCTTTAGTAAAAGTCTATGTATTTCCATTACGGAATGGCAATTTTCTTATTAAGAACAAGGTTGCTATTTTTTCCAAGAAGTTTAAAACTATTAACACATCCTAAAATGTCAGTAGAGCATCTATACTGAGAAAAACGACACAATTAATACAGAATTTCAGGGGGAAAAAAAAAGGAGAAACTAGAGCCTCCAGTTCTCTCTGGCTGTGCATCAAATTATCCATCTCAGCATAACTGTAAATCAAGAATGAATCCTCCTCCAGAAGGAACATCTAAGAAGAAAGAGTTTATTCCTTAGCTGTCTGGATCACACATAGCTTTTTTTGTCTTTGTTTGCTAGTTTGTTTCAAAAGAGCAGGTTCCAAAACAGCCATTAAATTGGGCTTTGCATCAGTTATAATATGTAAAAAAGTGTTTGTGGGGAGAGGGATCAAAGGTCAAAACTCCTTTCACTGCTCTGTGTTATGCAAAATACAGAATTACTACAGAGACCTTGGAAACCATTGAAGACAATTGCCCAGCAAACATCACAGAAAGAGCCATTTATATCCTTTTACCTTAGTTACAGATTAGGCTTTGGTTTTTGTGGATACAAGCTGACCGCAATGATTTTTAAAATAAACTTTACATTGCAAATTTCTTTCTCTGAATGTGCTTTAAGTTAACATTTTCTAGTCTGCTTTAATGAATGTGTCAAAGATTCTTCCTTCCACAAGCAGAGGTCTGAATCTGCAAGCCTATGGGGAAAGTTTAGTTCACCACCTGACCCTGGATCTCTCACACTGCACTTGAATGAGCTACCCCTACACCCCTTTCAGCAGTAACAGTATTTTAATGAGTAACTTCAATCAAGCTTTCAAGTTTATTTTGTATTAGTTGTAGCATGCAAGGCATGACCTTATGTTTGTTTGTCTTTTATCTGCATTTTCTTGTTTACCCACTGCATCCAGGGAGGTGATTACAAGGAAGATAAAATAAATTTCCTGAGCCACTAAGAGTGGTAAGAGAGGATGATATAAACTAGCAAAAGCAAACAATTTATGCTCCCCTTTAACCCTGGCTTCATTTCTCCCTCCTGCGTTGCAGTAAATTGTAAATCTTATGCAGAGACTGAAATTAATAAATGTGACCTAGGCAGAAATAATTTCTTGTCTTTATTGAGCCTCCTGAGGGGAGTGTATAGAAGATGCTTAATAGTTCATAAATATGTAAATTATCTAGCCTTTGCTGAAAAGGAAAGCAGTGCTAGCATTAGATGAGTGTATTCCTTAGTAAAATCATAGGATTCTAGTCAGGCAGTTCATACAGCTCTTCCTTCTAAAGCAAGTACATCTGTTTTAAAAACTGAGATACACTTACCAAGAAACTGGGGGGTGGAGAGGGGGCAGGAAATGCAAAATACCTATTCTGTACTTGTGTGGAATAACCTCTGGGGGAAAAAAGGGAACAAAGAACAGCAAATAGGTATAATGTAATTGGTACAGAATTGCTAGAAATATATCCCTTTAGGACTTTCTAACTGATTTAGGAATTTGAAAATGGGGAGACATTAATGAATAATTTTCAGCTATCTATGGTATGGTACTGTAATTTATGAGAAAGGATTCTTTTTAATTATAAGGCACATGATTCTATTTAAGGTGATGTTTTTAATGATTTAGGCAATGGTTAAAAAATGTTTGTGTATTCGTATTCCTTTTTTGTAAGCTTACTACAGCAAATTTCAGCAGGCTTCTACAGCATTCACTGAAGGAGAAGAGAGTTTTGGAACAACCAAATAGGCATGATATAGTTTTCATATTTCTATTCTATTTTCAGGATAACAATCAACTTTTTCATGTTCATGTTATAATAACAAAGCAAAAAAACCCCAACACTTTTCAGTTGTGCTTTCAACGATAATACTGAAGGAACAAAGAAGCCAAGGTAGTATAAAAGCAGGTTTGTACGATGTTTACTGCTCCTTTGGTAAATTCAAACTCATCAAAATGTAGTGTCATGAAGAGAGCAACTTAAATAACAATGAAACACGTTTTTCCCAGTCCTGTCGGCAATCAGAGAAGAAAGAAAAGACTAGAACAAAAGGAAAATAAAAATGCTGCCTTTTTACTACCTACTTCTCAAGGATTTCCAGCATCTACGGAATTCCCCAAATAGCAATACTGGATTCTACCGTTTCCCACAAAAGTGTACACTTTTACTTTTTCCAAAGGTACTTGCAGGTTTTGTAACTTATAGTAAGTCTAGTTGGAGAAAATCATCTTCCTGACTTTTTCTTCTTACATAGTAAATGTGTTACATGATTACAGAAAATCAAGCTGATTCTATCTGCGGCAAGGTTATGGTGTTAGTAGTTTGTTTGAAGTTAGCTGAATATGTATTTGATAAGATAAGCAGAACTGAAGAAATCAGAGTAAGATATTAGTCTGAAAAGATCCACAAACTGCTGCACATGCTGTTATGGTTCATTATTTAGGTGTGATTAAAAGAGAAGAGGTGAAAAAATTCACAAGCAAAAGTAGAAGAAAGATAAAAAAAAGTTAAAGACAGAGAACTTGGCTAAGTGTGTGTTTGTATGTGTGTGTATGTACATCTCTTGCTTTTGAAATAGATTTTAATATTCAAAAAATTCCTTGTCATTTTTCAGTTATTCCAATGCAGGATATTGGACAATAAAGACCTTCAGCAGGAGATCCTGTATTTATTCTAAGGCTTAGTAAGACAGAACAAAAGATATAAATTTGCATCTACCATTTAGTTTGGCATTGTATGTTGCCCACAGAATCAGACAACTGGATAATTATTGAACCTGCTTCAGCTTCTCCCTCATTTCCTATCTTACATAAGCTGCTAGAACACGAGTCAGAGCATTTTTTTTAATCTTCATCTCCTTTTGCTGACAGTACCTGGAATCAGCTTGGCACCTACTTTGTTTTTCTCCACTTTGCACTGGAGTAAAAGAGAGCCCTGGAACAACAGGTGATTCCATATTCTTTTCAGTCTGACCTCTGAGCACCGCACAGGCATCATGCTTCCACCCTTATCTTTAGGAGCATAAAATTATGGATGACTCACTCACACATAACTACATGTTTGAATATTAAAAGTGGTAGAGCAAGAAGTATGCCTTGAATTTAGAATATTCTGGTGCTGTGCTGAAAAAAATATTATCCTGAATTCCAGAGACAATTGAAATACTGCTCTGTATGATAAAGAACCAACCACATGATACAACTCTATAATAACAGGCTGTACATTTCTACTTTAATTTGTGCCTTACGTAGAGTTGTATGGAAAATGCACAACTGGTCCAGGTCCCTCTGAAGTACAGTGCTTTATATGTACAAGAGAGAAGGAATCATGTTTTGCTCAACCCTAGTAAGTTAAGCCTGTTTCAAATCAGTTTGGATCCCCTGATGAATATTCTGATTATGTTTATGCATCATCAGTGAAATGATGATTATTAATGCATGATGATTATTATTAATGATGATGGATTACTAATGATACATATAGTGTGACATGCTCATTTAGGAGAGCATAGAATTAATAGAGGGGATGTGATGAAAATCTGCTAGCTGGAGAACAAGGTTTTTGTACTTTAGCTTCTATAATGTGCTATAATATATTGGCTACAACTACTATTAAATATTAATCTAAAAGTTAAATATCACTTTTCCATGCCAAAGAAAAGTTAAGCAAAATGAGCATTCAGAAACAATTAAGGGTGAGAATTTGGCTTGTCATGGACTGGGGTCACGTCTGAAAGTTACAGAATATTGTCTTCTGTTCTGAGTGACTGCAGATAAAATAAATTTAGCAATACTTAGAGAAAATACATCTTGTCTTTCCTTACAAAGTGATGGGATTCCAGAAGTTTACTGTTCAGTGTTACTCAAAAAAGAAAAAAAAGGAAAAAAAAAAACCAAAAAAAAACCCCAAAAAAAACCAAAATAACCAGAATTAAGGTTTCGAATTAAGGAAGGGTTGTCAAACAGAATAAATTATTTTGCTTAAATAAAGATGCAGGTGCATCAGTCAGATTTTTCACAGTCCCAACCTTGCCCCTCTAAATAAATAAAAATATAAATACTAATAGATATACTGATTAGGGTGATCAAAATTATACAATAAATAAGGTAGGATTGATCAGCCTCAGTTCAAAAGAGAACTGAGAGGTTTGACAGTGATATATGGTTTTACTTAATAAATCATCTGTGAGTCATCATAAGAAATTATGATGCGCTGGATTCAAGACAGATATATAGTGTGTTTTCTCACACTGAATCACACATAACTTTTTGTCAGAGATCACTTTTTGGGATGCACCCATGAATTTGGCTCACATAAATAATAAAATAAACCCCATAATATTTCTAGTATCATTCTTTTTTATGAAGGATGTAAGAATAACATAATAATAGCATATCTCTGTTTCTCCCACTCTATTACCAAAACAAATATACTAACCACTACTGAAAATGGGATATTGTTTTGAAAATCCCCTTCTCTCTCTAAAAAACTCTCAACCACACACCAAAAAAAAAATTAACAAAAACCTCAGCCCTCAACACCATTATTTTGTTAGCTAAGTAAAAAATTTGCTTCAGGAAGTGTTTTCTGATAGTCAATGCTTTTGATGGTGTTTCTCCAAGACAGTGA